GTCCGCCGCCGGCGCCGCTCTCCTGCTGCACAATACACAATATATTACACACACGTACTTCGTAATCATCTTATCCTAAACTAAGTTATTACTAATTCAATTCTTAAAGAAATTTTTACATCTTGATCGCTTTAGCGAAGCCAAAGCAACAACATCCAGAAATAACAGAGTATTTCAAAACAAGTAATCCTACAAATGAATTATTGTCTTTTTTCCAGTGTCGTATGGATTTTAATCACAGATAACAAAAAAGTTGAATATATTTTAAGCATGTCGAGACAAAACAAACAACCATTACCACTAAATACATAAACATAACATATATAAAACCCATGCAATACATAAAGGCGGGTAATATAAATTAAACATAATATATACGGTTAACATATACTACATACGTGCATACAGATATGTGAGTAAAATAAACATATATATCATAAACTTACCCGCCTATTGTTCACCCGAACATCCATCTACAAACGAAAGCAAACGCTAAGAAATATAGTAAATCAAAAATATACAAACTAAAACGCATGCCAAACAAATCTGGACTCTCATGCAACGTAAATATACTCTACAATACTTTAAAAACAATCAAATACATAACATATTTATACATATAACGTAATCTTAGTTTTGTTGTCATGTTTCATGCTATAACTGCAAAGGTGCCTAAGTCGTAGTGAATATGAGTTAGTGTCGATGATCGCTGCAAGTGTCGCTGTCAACGAGGTACTATACACGTCTATATCATCTTCGTAAACGTGTTCATATCGCCATAAGCACAATTATATAAATAAATGTAAGTGTATACCGGTATAAACATTATTTCCATAATAAAAGTGTCTATGTCGCAGTACGTCTATCTGTCACCACGAAATGATGTAGATTGTCAAGAACACCTCCTTGTCAATGTCATCATGAATATGTTTGTGTTCAAATCAACATGCTTTTGTGTCGCTATGCAAGTGTCTGTATCGCAGTGGACACGTTTCCGTGTCAC